CTTGTTCCAGTATATCTATTCATGTCCCCCAGCAGAATAGTTTTTTCCCCAAGTTGTATCCCAGATTGGTGCAAAGAGAAAGTAAAGCAATTTACAAGTCTGAGAGCTTTGATTAGCATGTTGTAAATCTTTCCCCAGTAGCTGAGGCAGAGCTAAGGGCTGGTAATTTACAGAGAGAGTAACAAAGACTTGAGTTCAAAGAAAGGTTGCATGCTTCATAAATTATGCTAATGTCTCAGGCTGCTAGTTTGAAGATTTTGAATTCAGAAACGCCAAGAGAAATTCAGGACAGTTTGTAGACAGAAGAAAAACAGGACATCATGGGAATACAGGTCAGGAAACAGAAGAGTTGTTCCCCACAAGAATCGGGGGTATGAAGTATGCATACTGCCAAATAATATACTTAAATTATGATTAGGTGTGGTTACTAGGATGCTATTAGGAGACTCTTAAACATCATGCTTCTCAGGGGAGTCAGTTTAAGGTTATCCATCCCAAAACCAACAGTAATCAGTTGACATATGTATAATGAACTGCATGAATACCGTTCAGGCTTCCCTTCTTCCCTTCCTCCTTTCCTTTTTCCTTTCCTTCCCTTCCCTTCTTTCCTTTCCTTTCCTTTCCTTCCCCTGCCCTTCTTCCTTCCCTTTCTCCTTCCCTTCCCTTCCCTTTCTCCTTCCCTTTCTCCTTTCCTTTCTCCTTTCCTCTCCTTTCTATCTATCCATCATTCATCTAGCTATCTAGCTATCAAAAGTGTTGTAAAATCCTCCAACTGTTGTCCCAAATGTGTGTTGTTTTTTTAGGAGGCAACTGGACTTTCTGGTTTTTTTGTTGAAGATGTTTTGCTTCTCATCCAAGGAGCTTCTTCAGCTCTGATTGGATGGTGGGTAATAAAAATACTACAACCTTTGATGCCAAAGTAGCTCTCTGTTTGGAAGTGTAGTTTGCATCCTTTTAGAGAGTCATTGAGGCAACATGGAGGTTTGTGTCCTTGAGTCACCTAAATGGCTGTGGAGTTACTAAGGTAACGGAATGTGAGGTAACTGGCAATTGGAACAGAGTTCTTTTCAGGTGGGGAGGGGGAGTAGAACTCCTTAGCATCAGAGCATGTTAATTATTGTATTAAGAAATACTAATGATCTGAAAAATCCTTTCTTAGCTAGCACCTAGAAGCCAAGAGGAACATACATGCCAAATTTCAAGTTTGTAGGATTTATGGTTCTGGAGATTTCATGATGCTACTTGAGTGGTCTTTCACTTTTATATATATATTGAAAACACTTTTTTTCTGAGAATTATAGATTGGTTAAGTTGCTTTAGTATATTTTTTTCACTGGCAAGGAAGTATTGAAGAGTATTCAGAACAATATTTGTGGGGAAAAGAAACTTTTTGGTAATAATGGTAACAAAGAGAGTGTTGTGGAAGAGATTCTTCTGCCTCCCCATCTCCCTGACATATGGGAAAGCTGTTGAAAACTTAACTGTAGAGAATCTGATATGGCTTTATTAAAATCCTGCTGTGTGTCATTTTGTCAGGAGGAAGGTAGTGTTTGCTTACATGTCAGTTGATTGCCTAAAAATGGAATTCCCACCCAGCTTCCTCTCATTGTTCAACTGAATGGTTGGCTTGCTCCTTAGTGTCTGTGGCCTGTCTCAACAGCCATGTTAAGGCTGGCAGGAAACTATTCTGAGACACTGTTTCAAGTGGCAAGTATTCATACAGAAAATTTTGGCAGGGTAAGAAGCTCACCCACAGCAGTTTCCTTGCCAATTCTCAGGGCCTTTCTGATTCCACCCCATTACTGAGAATTTCTAGGCAGTGTGTGTTTAATAGTGCTTCAGGGTTGTTTTGCTATGCATTTTTTTTACTTTAGTCTTTCTCCAGGACGTTAGGGCTATCAGGTGAATGTGGTTTTGCACACGGATAGACAAAATATTATAGTGAGAATTCTATGGATAGTATTCATCATGGGGAAGATCAGTGTGGTTGCTAGAGATAAAAAAACAATTTGATGGCACATAATCAGTCAAGTCTGATATATTGTTCTCTCCCCGCCCCCTTTCTCCCTCTCCCTTCTCTCTGCTTTCTAGTATTAGATGTTCCTTGCAAAATGAAATACTCTGTGTCATGAGGTGTAATATAAACCGAATCATACTAAATATCATGAGAAAATAGTTACTATTAACTTCTGCAAAAACTGAGGATAACTTTCATAAATAAATTGCTTTTCACAGTTTGTAGTCCGTTTTCATATGTCAGAATAAAATCTCCTATGGCACTTCAGATATAGCTGGATTAGTATTCTGCTTAACTATGTCAAATTAATATCTACTGGAGTTAAAGACATTTGAGACAGCCTTTGTTTTTTTAACCCTCAAGTAAATATTGCATAAGTATGCATACACAAACTGTTTCTTCCATCTTTCCTCTCCATTTTCAACAAACACTACTGTACTTAAAGAAAATGTTCTAATCAGTTCCACTCCCTTCAGCTACAGACCTTTGAGCAATTGCAAGTGTGGGGAAGTAAATCAGAATTTCATCCAGTTGTGCAAGATTCCAAGTATAGCTGGGTCAATACTCTTATTCAATAGTGGCTAAGCTGGCTCCTTCCTTCCTTCCTTCTTTTCTTTGGTTATAACTTCCTAGGTGCATATGGCTACTTTTCTTTTTCTTCCTCTCTGTACCACTAAGTAGCTTAACATAAAAACATTGCTCTGCTTATCTTTATGTTCAATGAATGAAAAGGGTTGTGTGTGTGTGTGGAGGGGATCTATCTGACTATCTTGCTAATTTTCGTTGTTTGAATATTTTACTTGAGTTATTTTTGAAATCTTATTGTTCTTTTGAATCTTAAAGCATGAATATGCCTTCTTGTGACATCAGTTGGGCAATTTGCCATGCTTTTTACTTGCAGTCATTGGAATTCTGGACCTAACATTTCAGCTTTGGAACGTAAGATATATAACCATGCAAAGCTTAATTGGGAAGTCATCTAGCGAAATTATAAAGGGTAATTTCTAATCCATTAGGGACCTTTTTAAATTCTTACTAGACAATTTAACTGTTCATTAAGCAACATGGAATATCATATGATTTCTTGATCCATTAGGGAGATTAAAGATTCCCCTCCACACAACCGTTGAAAATAATTCCTTGATTTATAGTCATATCTACTGTGTTGCAGCCCACACACTTTTCTGCAGTTTTAGCACAAAACAATTTCCTCTTTTCCACAAACCAAGGTTGGAAGATGCAACATAAATTCAGAAATGCTTTGGCAAATAGTCTACTGCCATAACTGAGTAAATATTGTGTTCAAATTAGCTTCTATAAATATGCATATGAAATTTGAGAGGAGCAGCCTAGATTCTCAATTGATACTGTTGATATTAAAATAAAAACGTCAACTAATTACAGATGTCTGCAGGTGTTAATAGGCAGTCATGACCAAGTTTCAGATGGTGACATTTTAAAGCAGATTCTTTCCAGGAATGAATGGAATTACATTCAAGGGAAGCTGCCGAACCCCCTATATTTGAGACTTTCAGATCCAGGATAGGCTCTTAAACAGATGTTTAAGTTAGTTGCTTTTGTTGTTTTTCATGTTCTGTACAAATTATTTATTTTTCTTCTAAGAATTCTGCTGAACCTGGGTATATTTAATATGTACTCCTCCGGCTGATTACTGTGTACATTTGGTTTAGATTTATTTATATTTTGATCTTTTGTTACGCTTTCTATGTTGATGTCTGGGCTGTTTTCGAAGATAAATAAAACAAGGCAGGCATTTAAATATAATTTTAAATGTGTGCATTAAGAAATACCTAAACAATCCCTTTGATTTGATACAAAACTCTTAAGAAAAGACCATTTTGTGCAGTTGCCTTTCAAAAGAAAATTCTTAGAATTATGTACATTCAAGAAGCAACAGTCATTTATTTTTCTTTCTATGCCTCAAGGCTGAGTTTCATGTTTCATAAAATGCAGGATATCATCAAGCATAACAACTTCAGGTGAAGTGGAAAAAATATTACCTTGTGTTAAATTGGTTTGATAGCCTTCTAGATAGATTAGTCTTCAATTGCTGCTTAGCTTTGTTGCTTATCCATATTTTCATGCATATTTTCATCCTTTTGGGTATTCTTCCCCCATCCCTCACCTACTCCCCAAATAAGTTTTTCAATGCACCTTAAGATATTTAAAAGGGCATCAAAATAGAGTTGGAAAAATTAGATTATTATATTTGAAGTTCATTACCTAGTATTCTGTTTTGCTGAATAGAGGACTTCGTTGACTTTAACAACAGTATACCGAACAGCCAAAGTGTAGTTTCCAAATATGAATTCTTTATTATCCTCATAACTGAAGAAAACATTCCACTTTTAAATAAATCAACAAATACTCCTAAATGTTATTTTTTTCTTTCATGTCTTTCATAGTACAGAGAAAATCCTAGAATTTCATCCCAGTTTAAACAACTAGTCTGCATAGTGGACCTTCTTCAAGAATTTTAGACTCTCTTACTGATAATATCCCCTGATTTATAATTTTTTGGACTCAAATCTAACCTAGTTGAAGCCTAATTAGTAAATGAGATGGGAAATTACTTGAGAATACCTGGGCTGAAAACTGGAGGGATGACTTCCAAATTTTTCAACTGAAAAGTTATGCAAGCAGAAAAAGAAAATCCTGTATGCTATATGGTTTCCATGGAAAAGCCATAGACAAGTCCACAAAGTCAGTAGGAGACAAGCTTGACTCAATGAGAACTTTGTCTTTATTTAAATATTTGTGGGGTTAGATATGAAAACAGTACCAGCTATAGATTTATCTTTCAGGTTTTTTTGTTGTATCATTAGTAAATGAAAATTCATTGATTTCTTCAAAGTTACATTTTGTTTCCATGTTTATAAATGGCCTTTTTAATTTTCAGTGATTGTGGTGCTTCTGCAGTTACTGCAGGATTTGACATCAGTAACTCTAATTTTGCTTGCAGGATGTTTGATGTGGGAGGCCAGAGGTCTGAGAGAAAAAAGTGGATCCATTGCTTTGAAGGAGTTACAGCCATCATCTTCTGTGTTGCTCTTAGTGCCTATGACTTAGTTCTGGCAGAAGATGAAGAAATGGTAACGATACAATCATAATAAATGAAGCTGTCATACAATAAGCCAAACCACTAATCCCTCAAGCTTAGTATTTTCCACATTGATTTGGCAGTTACTCATTAGTCTATTGTGCAGAATTTTTTTTACTAGCTCTTCCTGTGTCACCTGGAGATTCAATTGTCTGTGCGCAAGGATGATACTGTATCTGACCTATTCATTTGTCAAATGTCTAGTCTGCCCAACTCTAAACTTACAAGTGGCTTCACAACTTTAAAAAGTCAACCACATTATATATAAAACAAAGATACTTTATATAACAACATCATCTCCTCCCACCCCACCCCACAATTAAATCATGCAATCCTGAAACATTTTAATGCAAGGTCTCAGGAAAACAAGCGTTTAGAGGCAGTATAGAAGTGTGTAAGGTAGGATCACTTGGATCTCCAGAAGGGTGTTGTTTCAAAAGGCAGGTGTGATGACAGAAGGACAATTTCCTGTGTCTTGCTAGATGAGTTTGTTTAACTGAGACATAAAGCAAGCTGTTGAAATGAATAAGATGGCTAGACACAATCAGAGACATTATAGTTGTCTTTAGGTGCTAGGCCTAGTGGCATGTAATGTATATAGGGGTCAAGCGTTACTTGAATTGCACCCAGAAGCTAACTGGCAACGGGGGCAGCTCATGTAGCAGGACTGCAATATGGATATTTTGATGTTACTTATCATTGCTTGCTTCATTCTGTTCCCACTGTAATATCCATGTGTCTTCAAGGGCTGCACCACTTAGAGCAATTACTCAATGTTATTCACAATATTTACACTTCATTTTGTGGACTATAACATCATAAAATAGCAATGTGTAATATTTCTTTATGATGCTGGTTGAAGAGTACATGGGGATTTAAACCTCCAGGTACTTACTACACATGAAATATAGGAAACCTATTAACTTTCTCTGAGTACCTATTAACTTTCTCTGAGTATTTACTGATTTGTCCAGTTTATATGCTTTCTACTTACATGAATATTCAAGGCAACTAACATGAATTAAAATAAAGTAAATATTTTTTTCAAAAAATAAGTAAAATAATATTTTTCACATTTTGTTAATATATAAAACTAACAAAAAGATTGCAAAAAGATAAAACAAATAGAAGGATAAAAAGTAAAAGGACAAAAAACATCTGGAACATATAGAAAACAAGTTAGGTTTTAATGCAAGCATTATATTGTCCCTTGAACATGCATGGTAAGATTGCTCAGCCTTTCCATTTCACCAATAGAGAAAACCAGTATATAAGTGAAGAGCAAATGCCTGTACCAGTCCATGCTTATAAATCCAGGGTGGCATTGTAGGTCCATGTAAAAGGTAGTATTATTTAGTCTGCTCTGTCCTTCCTAAAGCCATACTTCTTGACATAATAATTTTAAAACCATATTCATCTTCCCCAAATCGTCAACATCAATCTTAAACCAAAATGAAATAATAGTGGATGAAGCCTCTACCATATGCCAAAGTATGCTTTCAGCATAATGAAGTTGACATCAGTCACTCTGAAACATTTTCTGAGGTGTTCAATAAATATAAGGAAAAGATTTTTTGTTAATTTAAGTTAAACATTATAAAAACAATATTCCCGCTCTATGTTCACTTTTGGGCTGAGAATGTTCTCTATCTTGGCAGAATCGGATGCATGAAAGTATGAAGCTGTTTGACAGTATCTGTAACAATAAGTGGTTCACAGATACTTCCATCATTCTTTTCCTCAACAAGAAGGATCTTTTTGAAGAGAAGATCATCCATAGTCCTTTGACTATCTGCTTCCCAGAGTATGCAGGTAAACATTTCATTTTTTCCCCTTTCAAATTTGCTATATTATCTCTATATCCTATATGGAATTAATAGGCTTAATTTAGCTTAAGAATAAAGCTGATTCTATCCTTCAGCTGCATTACGATCAATGCCTCCTTAGGTCAACTCCTACACCCTATCATTGTGCTTGGATTCACTGAAGTTCTGTGTTAAAAAAAACCCTAGCATGTTCTCTATACAGATTACCAGATTACAGATTTCTCAGTTACCAATGATAATGGGAACTGGATTTTCCAGCACTAAGCAATGCAGTCATAAAGTGTAATGTCATGTGACCACGTTGTTTAGCGATGGCAATCCTGGCATTTTCCTTTGTCATCTTTAAGGATTATGGGTCCTTAAGCAAGTCCCAGTGCTGCTGACAGACAGGTAAGGCATGGAGTGAATGTAGTGGAGCTGGGAGCAGTTGCTACCATGTGGAGGAGGTGGAAAAAGCAATTCACAGAGCAAATTGTAACCTTCCCTGTCGGATTCCTTATTGACTTTGCTTGTGGAAAACTGGCATGGTCAGAACTTCAAAGACTGGTCATAAGTATCACTGGTTCAGGACTATCATGACTTTGAATAATTGCTGAATGAATGGTTGTTAAACAAAGACTACCTGCATTCACCAACCATCCACAATACCAATGTGTAAGCAAACCATTTAAGCGGGGAAAAATAAACCCAGGAACCTCTCCTTGCTGTTCCTTTCATTCTCCTTTATATCTATAATCTTTGAGAATAAAACAGAAAAAGTTCTTGGCTAGAGAGGTGTTTACAGACAAATCTGAAATCCCCAGAGCCTCATGCAATTAATGATAATGGGGGTAGCAATAGCACTTAGACTTATATACCACTTCACAGTGCTTTTACAGCCCTCTCTAAAAGGTTTACAGAGTCAGTATACTGTCCCCAACAATCTGGGTGCTCATTTTACCGACCTCGGAAGGATGGAAGACTGAGTCAGCCTTTAGCCTGGTGAGATTTGATTTGCCAAATTGCAGGCAGCCAGCAGAAGTAGCCTGCAGTACTGCATTCTAACCACTGTGCCACCACCATAACAGTAGCAAAGTTTACATATTGCTAAAAACTCTAATCCAGATATAGGGTATGCGTCCAATAATATTGAGAAAAAGGAAAACTATTAAGGGACGATTCATCAATTCTTTGCCATATGGTCCAATAGCCAAGATGCTACATGCAGCTAAAGAAGAATTTCATGGGATAATTCCTCTAGATCTTCTCCTGCAAATTGTGTCAGAGATGGAAGATGGAATGGGAGAAGGGAGTTGATAGAGAGAAGACAATGAGCAAACATGTTTCCAGAAACCAGTTCAGAATGACAGTGCATTGACTTCAACCAAGCCAAACCAAGCCAAGTAGCAACACTGTTCATCAATAGTAGTCAAGACGTTGTTAATTATGCTTGCAAATACACATACTTTTAATTGCAAATAATCTTTGATTTATTCTGATAGTGAGAAATATAAGGAATTTGTTATCCACAGTAATGAATTCATTCTGAGCATGTAGTTAAAAAAACATTACTTGAAAGGGTAGGTATGGAGGAATCTACTCTCAATTCATGAGGCATTATAATTGTGAAACTTCCTCCAAAATTTCCAAGTGCAAAAGAAAACAGCAACTGTTACTCTAAAAAGAATTTTTGCAGAAGGGAGCCAATTATTTTGCAATGGTGTGGGAACTTCAAGTATGTACAGACTTTGCATATGTATAAAAGATTATATGTTCCACAATTTAAGTGAACACTAACCCAGCAAAATTCTGAATTGCCTTCAAGATGGTATTTGGTGAAAAATCATTCAACTGAAATGCAGTGGGGCATGGCATGTTGCTAAAGTGCAATAACCCATGGAAGGAATGTTATCAGTCTAAACATGAATAAATTGACATCAAATGAAAGCAGAATAATCATTGGCCATCTGCAGATTTATAATAGGTATATATAAATGTGGGAAATATGGTGTTAGCAAGTTATTGCACTGTTTACCTGTAAATTTTGATTTGAATGCCTGGAGAGGGGAAGAATATTGTATATTTATTTTTGTTCATTTATTTAAAAAAATTGTTTGGCCAGCCAAAATTAACCCATGTTGACTGAGTGTTTTACAGAAGTAAACCCCAAATGCCAAATTCTAAATAAACTCTCATCCCCCACCAGTGGCAACAATCTAATATAGATCATCCTTTCAGAATTCAGTGCACTTCAGTATCTTTAATATCCTTAATCCCCATCCATGCATGACATTTAGCCGTCATCCTTGTAGATTATAGCTCAAACACTTGGCATGGAACAATTTCAGGAAGGACTGTTTCTGCCTCAGAACAAACTTGCATAATACGCCGACTTCCTTTCTGTTAGTGTGTACATTTTTGGACATAAAACTTTTCCTGCACACATTAGTATCTTTCTTCAGATCTTTTTATTTATTTATTGCAGGTGTTTCTATGTCACCAACTTAAACTGGCTTTTGAATGATATCCTCTCTTAATCAATTTCAATGCAATTAAAAACAATTAAAAATTAAAAACAGCACTTATCAATCATACTGTTATTCTACTACTTATATACTAGACTTCTTCAACATGCAGAATATCAAAAGCAGAAATTGGCATTAAAATTATTTGAGGATGTTGGAATCCTTTGCAGAAAATGAAAGGCATACAAAATCTGGTTTGATAGTCAATATTAAAAGAACCACAGTTATGTCAACTTCTAACACCAACCCAATTCAAAAATCCATAAGGTTGAAGATTGTGATGAAATAAATATATTTGGAAAAAAGCCTATGACAAATATAGGCCAAAAGAAAAAGTACAGAGACATCACAGTACCAGCAAAGGATATATGTCGTCAAAGCTATGGTCTCTCCAGTTGTAACACATGGCTGTGGAAACTGAACCATCAGAAAGGCTAAATGAATAAAAATTAAATGCCTTTTTAATTTGTGCTGGAGAACATTGTTGAGAGTACTTGAGCAACAAGAAAAATAATAATTCAATATGGGTTGAAGGAAAACCAGATTTATTTATTTTATTTTATTTTTTCATTCTTCATTGAAAATACTAAAATAGAGGTAAATATTAATATTTGGGGCACATAATGCCAGAAGCAAAAGCTTTTGGAGAGCCGCAATGGAAAAATCAGAATCTGTAGAAGATAAAAGCCAGACAAGATAAGATAGCCAGGTGGTATTGCTGATACCATGAGGATGTGATTACAAGAATTCATGAAATTATTGATAGATCATCATGGGGAGCTATTATCCATCAGAACAAAGTAGTACAAAACTTAGATTAGGTTTTCCGTAAATATAGCACTATTGATTTTTTTCAGCATTTCCTCTGAACCCTAAAATGAACATATTCCCTAGAAAAGCTAGACTTAGTAGAACAAAATGGTGCATAATGGCATATGATTTGAGTAGAAACCAAATTAGGGCATGTGTAGTTAAAATAGCCATTTATTCTTTTCATAGAAGAAAGAAATAGCAGAAAAAGCTTTTCCATACTATTTCAGAAGTAGAAAATTTCTCATTTATTCTTGAAATCACCTAGAAAGATCCGAATGAGGCTGTTGAATTAATTTTAAAAAATCTGGCCTCTAAAACACTCTCCCTGTTACTTTAGTATATTTGAGATAACATACATACTAAGTATGTATAGTAGTAGGTGTTATTCTGCTAAATCTGAACTGTGTTCTTCTTATGCAGTGATTGTCATCACTGATGGCATAGCAGCAATAGTAATCTACGTGTGCAAGTTGCGAGTTCCAATGAAATATCTTTGTTTGCTGGAGGACAACCTTGTGTGGATATGTAAAATATGTAGAGATTGTGTTCATACTGTGTTAGATTTCTTAAAAGGTGGCTATACAAACAGTTCTGTAAATCCAAAAATGAGAAAAGAATTTTGCCGTAAAACTTACCTGATTATGGCATGTAAGCCCTTTGATACAATAAATATTTTAAATGATACAAGTTTACTTTTTGATAAATTTATGAGATATTAAGATTTTTCTTGTAGTTAGGATGTATCATTTCAATGGCTATGTGAAGTCTGGATTTTGGGAAAGTTGTGGTAGAGAGGGAAGAATGTGGTTTTTGGAGGCTTACTATGAAACTGAAATTCAGCAGGTAACTACAGGTAGTCCTTGACCTATGACCACAATTGATCCCAAAATTTCTGTTGCTAAGTGCCCCGTTTTATGACATTTCTTGCCACCGTGGTTAACTGAATCACTGTAGTTGTTAAGTAAGGAACGTAGTTGTTAGGGGAATCTGGCTTCTCCATTGAATTTGCTTGTCAAAAGGTGATCGCATGACCTTGGGATAAATATGAATCAGTTATCAAGTATCCAAATGTAAATCACATGACCACTGGGATGCTTTTACAGTCATCAGTGTGAAAAATGGTCATAAGTCATTTTTTTTTCCAGTGCTGTTATAAGTTCGAACGTCACTAAATGAACTGTTATAATTGTCAAAGGCTACCTGTAGTCTTTGCAAGGTGATCGGTTAATTATGAGTTCTGTAAAAAAAGAAAAAAAAAGATCTCCGATGCTTCCAAAATAGAATCCATATAATACCGGTAGCTATATAGGGAAATTGTAGCAAATTATCTCTCTTTTGAAACCACTTCCTTCTGTGCAGAGAGATTGTGTGTTAACTACAGATCTGATAGATTGGATCATTTTTAAAAAAAGTCCAGGTTCCTTGATGTGACTAAGCCTTATTGCTCAGAGTTACATAGAAAGAAGCCAGCAGAATGCCATCTTCTCTTCCTTTCCCTTCCTTTCATTTCCCTTCTCCCTTTCCCCCTTCCTTCATCCCTTCCACAAATTATTTTTGTTCCACACTTACCACACTAACTCGAAGAGGAGGAAAACAGCCTTTTCAGGGCTAGAATGTCTTGCTAAGCTTTTCATAGCAACTCTGATGCTGTTTATATGGATTGAGGATGGTTCTTGACTTTTTAAGCCAACGCACTGCTTCTTTAAGGTTTCACACTGAAAACTGAGTCAATGCACCTAGTTATGGTATAATAATCTTTCTCATCGCTGTTCTTTCTCTCCTTCCTTCTCAGGGGCCAACAAATACGATGAAGCTGCAGGCTATATTCAGAACAAGTTTGAGGAGTTGAACAAGAGAAAGGACACCAAGGAGATCTACACCCACTTCACTTGTGCCACTGATACCAAGAATGTGCAGTTTGTCTTTGATGCTGTCACTGATGTCATCATCAAAAACAACCTGAAGGACTGTGGGCTCTTTTAGCTCTTCAGATGGCATCTACTGAGGAACATAGAAAGGTGAAGCGTTGTTAGAATAATGAGACAGTTTAAGGCTACTTGTGATACACTTACAAACTTTTGAAACACCGGTATCTCTGCCACTTTCCTGAAAGCAAGATTGGATGCACTTATCTGAAGGTGTTTCATTTCAGAGAATATACAAATCTTAATTGGATGCAGGGGAGTAATATTTTCCATTTCCCAAGATGAGGTAGAACCACTGTCATTGATATTCACTAAATATACAAATATGCAGTGGAGATCATGGCTCTTTGGATATAAGATGGGTTTCCATATATGACAAAGTCCACTGTCAAAATGTAAATCTGATCTGTGTAGTGGTTATGTTAATTTGGATTTGTCTAAACCACTATGAGCCACAAAGCCTTACTAAAATACCCATGATTGGTGGGTTAATGATTCAAGGTTCCGAATTACATTAGCAACTATTTTCAACTTCAGAGGCTAAGGTATATATATGCAGGGCAGAGTGAATACCATACTGGATTGAGCACTGATGTGTTTTTGTGTGTACTGTTTACCTTATGGATATCCCGTTCTCTTGCTTAGACAAGTAGTATATAGCAGACCATTTCAGGTCTGAACCTTATTTTGAATGCTCTTAGGAATATGAAAAACATTACACTTTAGGAACCAAGTATTCAAGGAGAAAAGAAGTCCTCCAAACTTATCTAGCTATTCCAGGAAAAATTTTTTTAGAAGTTTCCAAGTGTAGTTGAATCACTTCCTTTTCTGGAAAACCTATTTTCAGGAGAATATTGAGCCTGTCATAAACAACTGGATTGGCTTAATCCAAATCAAAATGGAATTTCTGGAGTGCCCAGAATGCACTGTCTCCAAATACAGACTTTTGTAACTCCAGTGTCTTCTGTCAATGTGTATATGAACTTCCTTTTGCTCTTCCCACTGCAGGATACTTGAACTGCTCCATATGAGGAAGAGGCTGGTGTTGATGAAGGGAGGACTGCATCATTTAACAACTTCTGCTTCTTAAGTTTTGTTCCATTCCTTTAAATATTCCTAATGATGAGACTTTGGCAATTCTTCCTGTCCAAAGGACAGGGCCCATTGTTTTCCCTGCTCCGTGCTGTCTAGATGCCTCCTGCAGGCTGTTGGTCTTCTCCCTATGCCCACAAAGCCTTACTAAAGTACCAATGATTGGTGACTTGCCATAGTTGTAACATTTCCATATATGCCCTTTTCTTCTCTTTCTTTAACTGAAATTCAGATGGTAGCAAGTCAGAGGGCTTTGGATGTGTTTGCCATGCTTTTTATCTTCTGTTTTTTTAAGATACATGGTGGGTTTTTAGTTTTTTCTTTTGCTTTATTTTTGTCCAAGTAACTTTCTGTCTGACCCTGCCAAAGCAATCTACAGTCCATTTGTTTTTGTTTTTAACCTTCCATCAAGTGGAGCTCTTGCCATGGAGCAAGTTTTTCAGCTCCTACCTCTGTAATTTGCACAGACCAGCAAAAAAAAAAAAACACAAAAAAAAACACAAAAAACCACATTCCTTAAGAGTCAATTTGTGCAGGAAAAGCTGGTCTATTGTTTTATAAGAAACCCTTTTTAAAAAAATCGTATTTAAAATGTCCAGTAGTAAATGGTTGAGTTGCCCAGTATGAGCTCATCTTCTCTAGTAAATTTGTGCCTTGAGGGTGTCTGTATGTTTACATCTGTTCTTTAGTTTGCTTCAGTGTGCATTGTGTTCAGAATAGAATACAGTGGGTTCCTTCCCCTGTTTACCAGCCCTTCTCTCCCTTTTTTGCTGTGGACCAGGCCAAGCTTTTTATGAGGGGGCAGTGCCCATGCATTAAAACGTGTTTCTTCCTGGCCACAGAATTAGGTTCCTAAGGGCTAAGATTCCACTAAGCAATGTCAAACTTCTTTCCATTCCTTTGTGTCCCACCCCAGGGCCTGAGCGTGCACCTGAGGGTGCTGTATAATGTCAGGTCTATTTTCATGTCTTTTCTTAGCTCTAACTGTAGTGTCAGCTGAAGAAACGCTGCTGTATGTAAGCGGTCCTGCCTGCTGTGCAGTTGATGGGCACTGGGCCATTAGTAACCGTCAGACGCAGCCTAGCTTTTATCACGTTTTACCAAATTGTTCACATGGTTTGAAATAATAAAAAGTAGAAAGAAAGCCGTCTTTAAACTGTGTTGCTTTTCTTCCAGTGTTCCGAATATATTTGAGCGCAGTATTTCATGGTGGGTTTTAATGACTGGATGGTTTTCTTTGGCTCACGATACAAGTTTGTTTCGCTTCTCCTAGACTTAAAAACAACAACAACAATAACAACCTTGGAGATGTTTATGACTACAGCTGCAAGATCATTGGATATTGTGATTGAGGTACATGGGAAATGTAGCCCAAAACACCTTTAAAAAACCCCACTACATTGTACATTATAAAGTTAAAACACCCCTGTTTTGGAAACATCTTCTAAAGAGTTTTATGGCCTGAGTGAGTGCTTGTTTCTTTCCTGAAGTACGTAAACTTGAGCAGAATGCTGGATAAGGTTGAAAGGGAAAATGTAAGTTATGAATAATAATTAAATACAGAAAAAGGGAAATGTGTTATAATCTTCAAATGTAGTTTTTCCTTAAATACATACAGTGACATATTTCAATATTTCAGTTCCAATATTTGAGGGGGTTCCACAAGAAAGAGGGGTTCTAGCTAGTCTCCAAAGGACCTGAAGTCAGGACAAGAAGCAATGGATGGAAACTAATGAAAGAGAGAACCAACCGAGAACTAAGAAATGACAGTTAGAAATGACAGTCCAAGAAGTTAGACCAATTAATCAGTGGAACGATTTGCATCCAGATGTTGCAGTTACTCCAACACTGGCGATTATTAACAACAGATTGGGCAGCCATTTGTCTGAAATGATACAGGGTTTCCTGCTTATGCAGAGGGTTGGACTAGAAGACCACCAAGGTCCCTTCCAACTCTGTTATTCTATGGTATGTGTTTCTCCTTTGACTTACAATCTAGACAGATCAATAGAGTCATGTTGAAAGGAAATACTGAAGAAAGTACACCCACCCCCCTTTAGTTGCCATGGTGTGTGTTGGGGATGACCATCACCAGATTTGAGCGGGCTTCTATTCGATCTTCATCAAGCAGCCTTCTGACTAGCAAACCTGGTCTCAGTACTGCTCCTTTTTGTTGTGAACAGATTGAGCAAGTTTGTCACATAAGCCACCAGTGTTCGAAACTAGAAGAAAAACAGGTCCAAAATACAATGCATAGTTTCAATAGTCGCCACGTTTCCCATCATTCAGAGAAAGCGGTGTCGTTAACGAAAAATCAAGAGTGAACAAGGAAGAAGACAGCAGAATTAGGCAGTATCAGCAAGCAGGTTCAGCGTTGAGGCAAGGCCACACATCTTTTACCCCTTAGAGGCACAGCTGTGGCTCAGATCCTGGAAGAAAACATTTGCTGGCCTGCTTTTCCTACTGAAAGTGAAAGTAATGAAGAAATGTCAAAATACCCGAGTTGGGAAACCCTCTAGTAGCAGATTTTTCTAACTTAAAAAAAAAGAAAAAGAAAGATTGGTAAGGTATACATGACTTGTGTAACACAGCTCCTGGGATGGAAAAGTTTTTTCTCTTTTGAGTCTGGATAATTATTTCAGATAGTATTTTGCAGAGGAAAAAAAAAACCTAATTGTGGGGTTTATTGCCCTTTTACTTAGCTGAATTGGCAAGGTGGATTTTAATCGAGATGAAGAGGAACATCAGTAGAAAGAGTGTATTACATAGGAGGACTGAGGTCCTACACAGTCTGGCTTCATTTTGGCTTCATATGTTGTATTCTTTCAGTCCCTCCACCTTCTGTGAAGATCAGAGGAGGTCAGCTGGATCAAGGCATTTAATTCTGAGTCTGCTTGACATCAGTGATCATACAATGCCTTGAAGAAGACCACAAGCAGAGCTAGAAGTCATAGATTTCTGTGGAAACATTCAGAACAAGCTACAAACCCTCTTCAACTGTGCAGGCCCTCCCAACTGTAAATCTCTGCAGTAATCCCTCAATGCCAATAATTTATTTTACTCTAATCACAGGGGGCTCTAATTTTTCATTGCAGCTTTAATAATTCCCCATTGAGCCAAGATTTCACCACTGAAATTCAGTGGCAAATTGCTAATTTTCATTGACCAGGGTTTCCTCCTCCACTTTTAATCATGAGATGCCCAAGCTAAATATATCTTGTCATCTAACTCTTCTGAATTTAAAGGAACAGACTTTCCAGATTCCCCACCCCCCCCAAAAAAACCCCTAAAAGGCCTAAAAATTCCAATCCCAGAGACTCCACTGGTATTAGTCACTACATCACTGTTGCAGTGTTTGTGGAAGTGAGCTGGAATATATACCTGCAAAAGCTGGGAAATTTACCTTTTTTTGTTTCTCCCAAATAAACTGAGAGCCCTTATTGCAACTTGCCATTAGACTATATCTGATAAGCCTGTTTGGATGTCGTGAAGGTTCCCCATTAGCTTATGTATGTAATTAGATACAAACCTGGCCTGAACATTGGGCTCAGTCCCCGTCCCCCCCCCCCCCCCCCCCCCCCCCGCAGGGTTCTTGACATCTTTACAGAAATTTTGTACCATTTTAATTGGCTTAAATATATACGTTGCTTCAATGAACAGGATTTTATTCAAGGTACGTCCCCTCACCTTGCCTTCCATATCTACCCACCCATCCGGTCATGCCTTGCCAGAGCCAACCAAGTTAGGAAAAACAAACACTTGCAATCAGAAGAGGCCACAGTCCTTCAGATTTTCCTTGATGATGATATCGGTAACAGCATCAAAAACAAACTTGACATTTTCTGTATCTGTGGCACAGGTCATATGTGAATAGATTTCCTTCACATCCCTTCTCATATTCAGTTCCAGGAATTGGACTTTGATATAGGCACCTGCATCTTCATATGTATTGGTCCCTGCAGAGAGATAGGTGGTAATAAAAGAATAGCTATAGAGTAACGCAAGCCGCCTTAAGCTCATAATATTGTTCATTTGTCCAGAATGAGACAAAACTTCATACTGAGGGAATGATTCCAATCTGTACGGAGCAGAATCTTAGTACACTGAACACTGCAGTTGTTGAGTGTTTGGTATTCATTGTTGAATGAACAACTACATTGTACAGAGCTTCCCTCCCATGGAATAGTCTACCCTTGATAATCAAATCTTGCCTGTTTTACTGAAATGTCACCCACCTACATCATTTATCTTTGAATGGTGGAAGAGTAGGCATTCTGGAAGTGTGACTGACATGACTAAGCACATGGGACTTCTATTGCCCTTTCAGTGATTAATAAATCTCAACCCAGTTTACTAAAAGGTAACGTTCTGAGAAGTTTTGTTGGGTGAATTGCCCAACACTCCCTTAGCAACTTTGCAGTCCCCATTATGTTGTATTTTCTTCCAGTATTGGAACAACTGAGAAGAAAGGCATCTCTGCAACAATAATATGGGCGCCAATTCTCAAAGGTGGTTAAATTTACAGTAAAACAACAAAGACTGAACACATAAATGTATTCCTAGAAGAAACTGTCAATAACAATTTCTGGTTTACGTGGCAGAAAAATATGCCCTGTTTCACAGAGGACTGAGGGCCTCTAGTGTTTATTTTTCAAAATGAATGTCTTGTAATAAAGTAATGTCTTCTCTTCATGATCATATAGGCAACAACAAGAGAAATAGAAGATAACTTGACTTTTTCCATTCAAAGTTGTGTGTAGTAAGACCAAGAAACCAAATGCAAAGGTTTTAATTACTTGTAACTTTGGATGAGATTAACAAAATCAACCGCCCTGTTATTTATATGGTTGTCAAATTTCAGCTGTATCCATCCAAGCAAGTATATATTTGTATAGAAAGTCAAGAAGTTAACAAGGGTAGGTGTAAATACAAGAGGAGAGTGGGTTCTACACATTCTCACTGATTTAGGCCCAGTATAATGCTGACCATATAACAGAATAGTTGGAAGGGACCTTGAGGTCTTCATGGAGTAGTTGGTATTCAGGGCACTATTTCCTCCTCCACAGCAAGAACTTGTGCAGATAAAGATGGAAGAATGAAACCATGGTTGATGATATTAAAGTTCATTTTTATTGCTGATTTCTTTCCTGGTAGTGGAACATGATAATTCCCTGTCTGGCTTTATCTAAACAAGCCTTCCCTAAATTGGCATCAGCCAGATGTGGCGCACTACAACTTACATCGGTCCCTGCCAGTATAGCTGTTGCTCAGCAAACCATTGGAAATTATGATCCAAACTTCTGAAGGAAATCCAGTAGGGCAGAGCTAAGCACCTGCTACTTCTTCTTTGGACTCTTAATGATCATTTTGCAGAATGCCAAAACCAGATACCATCCTTTAGGTATTCAGGTTTTAGCCTGCTGACCTATATAATATTTTTGGTGACTTTCCATGCTACCTAGTGTGACATTTGTATGTTCCTACATCACTGTACAATTGACTGGAAGTGTAAGACTCTAATTCATTAAAGTATATCTATACAAGCATGCATGCTGCTGACTGGAACTCACCTTCATAATCTGGGAAGCAGATGCTGAGATGGGCCTTCTTGATCTTTTCCTGGAAAACATCTTTCTTATTGAGGAAAAGTACAATGGAAGTGGTGGCAAAGTATCGGTGATTGCAGATGCTGTTGAAGAGGTGCAAGCTCTCATGCATGCGATTCTGAAACAAGAAACAAAAAACCCAGGACACTTTGTTTTCCTTATTTAGTCCAGCTACATTTCAGTTACTAAAGATGTGCACACAACATAAACAACTTTTCCCTAAATCTGTTATCATCTTCTTTTAACGACCCCATCCCTTGCGGGGTGGAGTCTGGGCAAATTGAACAGAACTAGCAGGTTGTTTACTGGCCTAATGCCCTTCCTGTTGCCAATGCGGAGTTTTATTCAGCAGATACATTCTCATTATGCCCAGAGAGAGAAATATCTACCTAGGATCGAACTCACAGCCGCCTAATGGTGAGGCAAGAGCTCCACCTCTAGGTCATCACCCCACTCCTTTCCCTAAAACTGTTATCAGGAGAAGAAATTTTATTTGGGGATGAATCTGACAAAACTTTCCTAAATTAAAGATAATTTCTTGTGGTGGGATTCCTTAAAAAAGTAGAAAGGCGAATGAATTCTGTGTGTGTGTGTGTCTGCCACAATTGTCAGGTGATCCCTATGATTTTTATTTTAGTTGAGTTGTGTATACTGTCCACCCTTCTCCATGATCTACAACTCATAGGATGGTATGAAATTTGTGAAACTTACCTTCAGATTATAGCAATCTCCTTTTCACAAGTAAATTCTCCATCCCAAGAATAAAAGAAACTGCCCCTTTAAGTCTTGGTTGAGAAATGTAAAATGTCTTTCATTTGCTATAATCAGAAGAGTTGGAAGAAAACTTCGGATGCTCCTTACCACTTCATCATCTTCCACCAGGACCATATCATAGGCGCTGAGAGCAGCAATGAAGATGATGCAGGTGACGCCTTCAAAGCAATGAATCCACTTCTTGCGTTCCGAGCGCTGGCCTCCGACATCAAACATCCTGCCAGGAAGTTGAGGAATTGGTGTGATCAAGAATTTTAAAAGAATTGCTTTAATTTCATATTTTTGTTTAGTGATATAGCATTTAGAGATATATACCACTTCACAGTGCTTTCAAAGCCCTCTCTAAACGGTTTACAGAGTCAGCATATTGCCTCCAACAATTTGGGTCCTCATTTTACCCACCTCGGAAGGATGGAAGGCTGAGTCAAGGGTAGGATTCAGCCGGTTCGGACTGGTTCGGGTGAACTGCATGTTAAATTTACATCCAGTTCACCAAACCAGTAGTTGAACCAACCAGCTGGCCTTGCCCATCCCACCCCACCCCTCCCAGGAGTCTCCACACAGCCCATTTTGGATGCAGGTAAGTGCAGGGTCTGCATGGAGGCTGTCGGAGGGCAAAAATGGGCCTTCCGGAAATCCAGAAATGGGCCTGTTTCCGCCTTCCAGAGGGCCTCCAGACCCCAGGGAAGGCTGCTTTTCCTCTCCCAGAGGCCCGAGGGAAGCCTCCAGACCCTGAGGAAGGTGAAAAACAGCCCTCCTGGAAGTTCCAGTATGCCACGCCCATCATAGCCATGCCCACCCAGCAACCAGGCAGCAAACCTGTTGCTGGAATTTTTGAATCCAACCCCTGACCTTGCGCCTGGTGAGATTCGAAATGCCAAATCACAGGCAGCCAGCAGGCAGCAGAAGTAGCCTGCAGTACTGCATTCCAACCACTGCGCCATCGCAGCTCTTTAATTCACAATAGTGCAGCCCTCACGTAATGATTGGTTACTTAGCGATTGTTCCAAGTTATAATGAACAGTCCCCCTCCAAAGCTTTTTATGAGCCAGTTCTGGAATTTCAATGGCCACACACACAAACACACATACACGGAGTTACATGAGTGCATTTTGGTCACTTGGCAACTGCCTCACCTTTATTGACGGTTGCAGCATTCCACAGTCATGTGACCTCAATTTATAGCAGTTTTTTCCAGTTCAATCTTTTTTGCCAGCTTCTGGCAAAAACACTCATAGAAATGAGTGTGTTTGCTTAATGACCATGGCATTTGCTTTATGACCACAGTGGCATTTGCTTTATGACCGTGGCATTGACATAGTGACCTCCCCCCCAAATGTAAAATTGGGTCAGTCACGTAGATGTCTTAACTTATGACTGGAATGACATAACATGGAAATTCTAGGCTCCATTACAGTTGTAAATTGAGAAATACTTGTACCTGTTTTGTATATTTACAACAGAATAGCCTTACATAATAGAAACCTCAATTTCTCCAGTTCTTTTAATTCAGTCCAGACTTCAAAACATACGTACCCAAATATTCATATTAAGGAAAATATTTTATGAACTTATTTTGGAAAAGTCTTAAAAGTTATGTTAGGAGGAATGCACGCAAAAGTGCATTTCTTCTTACATCAATGTTTTGAAGGCAAATTTGCATCCAGCACAGAAACAGATGAAGACAAAGACAATATTGGCAGAAGAGGAATTGACCAAACAGAAATGGACAGAACTAGATTTGTGACTTGTTAATATTTTACTGCACTTCTCATGATGAAGTGGCTCTCCCACTTCAGCACTATTCACGAAAGTATTACATCAGAATGCTTAAAGTTTATCTTTTCAGAGAAGAAGCAAAATTTATCTGCCTGGCAGGATTTAAAGCTGCAGAGCCAACAATAGTTTTGCAGAGAACATAAATCCTGCCATTTAATTAAGAAAATCAGGGAGACTTACTCAAGGACAGATGTGAAAAGGCAAGCCGTCTGAAGAAATTTGTAGAAAACCAATTGAGAGAAAATTGAAAGGGTAAAGGGGGTTAAAAATGATGAGAGAATAAAGTTGCAGGGCAGAGTAAGCAGTATCTGAAAAGCAGGCTCAGAAAATAGAGAACACTGAAGTGTATCAGTCATATTTCCAAAACTAAGTTGACTGTAGGTGGATACTGTATTATAGGAACACCTAAAAAAGGTTCACAGGTTTACTATGCTGATAGTACATTTAAACCAAAATAGATACAGGCAGGGATTACATTAACTCAGGGGTCTTCAAACTTGACAGCTTTAAGACTTGTGGTCTTCAACTCCCAGAATTCCTTCTTCAGTCATGTTAGCTCAGGAATTCTGAGAGTTGAAGCCCACAAGCCTTAAACTTGCCAAGTTTGAAGGCTCTTGCATTAACTCAATGTTTCTCAACCTTAGCAACTTTAAGAAAGGTAGACTTCAACTTCCAGAATTCATATGCTGGGAGTTGAAATCCACCCGTCTTAAAGTTGCCAAGGCTGAGAAACACTGGATTAATCTTATTTAGTCAATCCCATTACCTGTCTACCTGATGGAGAAGTAACTGAAGATGCTAGGACTGGGGGGATTTCAGGCACTTCCTGGAGCAAGCCTCTCTGAAATGGGGACTTTTACCCAGGGGTGGGATTCAAATAATTTAACAACCAGTTCTCTGCCCTAATGATTTCTTCCAACAACCAGTTCACCAAACTGCTCAGAAGGTTAACAACCGGTTCTCCTGAACTGGCTTAATCCCACCACTGCTTTTATCCTAGTCACTGAGCTGGTATGCTTCCAGAACAATGAGTGAAAACTTGGACTGGGTTAAACATATGGTGAGCCCAGGAAGAGGAAGTAGAAGAAAGGGGAAAGGGAACTGACTCTCACATAGAAACTAAAGGCAGAAGATGTGTAAGTAGGTAGGAAGGAAGTGTCAAGAAATGTGGGTTTGGAAAGCTGGGAACTGTGGGTCAAGACTGACAGGGCGGAAGGATCTGGTAAGGAATGTCTTCACTGGGTGCTGGAACAACTTTGCATATTTCACTGTTAACTCTGACAGCCAAGAAAAAGGTCAAAAGTGAGATTTTAACAAACCTGCAAGCTCTTTGACTACCCCTTTTCAGGTGTATTTTCCCAGCTGCTGCTTTCAGTTACAACCTGTGATGAACAGCAAAAGTATCTCTCTTTTTAAATAAGATCTTGAAATAGAATTCTGTATTTTATCAGTTTAATTGAAATAGAAAAATATGGAAATGCAAGCTGCGCATACAGGGGAAATAAGGGTCATTAGGAAAAGCCCCATCAAGAAATGAAGGGCTATTGAAGAAAATAATAAAATGCCTTTGAAAATCTTTTTGTTCGGATGGAAGTTTGGTTATTCCAACTCTGCATCAATAGAGGGCAGTGCATCCTCACAAAAATAAATAGAGTGGTTCATTTAAAGTGCTAATCTTTCATACTCTTTCCTGGATAAGTGCACATAAGATATTTCAGACAATGCAGATATGATCAGTTTTTCTTCTTCTTCATCCTTCTCCTTTTCGGTTCACTAGCTGGATTACTTCTACTCTTCAATGTTGATTTCTTCTGTCTGTTTTCAAAGCTCAGTGTGAAACATAAACGTATATGATCTAAATTTCAGAATACTATGCTCTGAGAAGATACATTCCCTCTAGTTTTTAATTTGCTACTATTTTTTTCTTACGTTAAAGATGGAAATTTATGTTCCATCTTTTCTTCTGGAGTTCAAGGAGATCTTTATCCCCAACAACAATGTTGGCCTAAATGAATGGCCGGCCCAAAATCACTCAGTGAATTTCCAGGGGATGAATTATATCAACCATTTTTCTTTACTGTAGAAGCCGTTAGCAGAGACTTTCTTGCATCCTAACCCATCACAAAACAGAATTTCGGATTCATCTCATGTGTCAATAGAAATGGTGACCAGGAGGAGTGACTGTGTAGCTCTTAACCAGCCGTGACACATACAAATCACACATATCCATACACATTTAGCCTGTCCAGTGAACAATTTTGAATATTGAAAATCTTAAAAAAAAACCCTATTTCCTAACCTATTGAAAGTAAGGCTATTAGACTCCGATGACAATCTGCTTATTGGTGGACCACTGCTTCGGACATACAATACCTGAAGTGGAGATCCTTGAAGGAAAACTGGGTTTCAATGATCCCGGTGGTCTTAACTCTAGAGCGGAGAACATCCTGCTCTGTGGGAACGTATCCAGGAGTTACCAACCGTGCCACATCATTCAAGTAACTGCAGGTATAGAAATATAGTTCTACAATGTAATTGATGCAGAAGAACCCTGGATCTTTCAGCTTCGATCTCTAAGGTATTAGGCAAGCTGAGAGGTTTTGAAATATTCTGGCCCCTTTTTTTCTTGAAGAAAAGTGAGGTCTGAAAGAAACAGAGTTTGGAAGGAGAATATTCACTTTTGGCAAGGAGGCCGGAGAATCCCAGGGAACATTTCTCTTCCCCTCACGCCCACTCAGAGAAGCGATCCACTTAAGCAGGGGTGGCCTTCAAAATTTTCAGCAACGGGTTCTCTGGCTAGCTGGTTGCTTGGGTAGACAGTGGCCTCGTCGGCCTCCTGCACCACAGCAGGGGAAACGTTTTTACCCTCCCCAGGCTCCGGAGGCTTTCCTTTGGGAGGGTGAAAACAGCCTTCCCTGGGCTTCGGAAGCTGGAAACAGGCCTGTTTCTGGCCTTCTGGAACTTCCGGGAGGCCTGTTTTTTCACTTTCCCCAAGACTCCGTGCAAGCTCTGCACTTACAGTACTTTGCATCCAAAACAGACTGTGTGGAGACTCCTGGGAGGGGCGGGGTGGGAGGGAGGGGCAGGGTGGGATGGGAGGGGCCAGCCAGGGATGGGATTTGGCAGTTCTCAGAACCGGCCATAACGTTAGCTCAGGAACCTGGGTGAACCCATAATAGCACCCCCCTGCAGTTAAGGTCCCCTGTACATCTTATATGGGTTCCTAGAAGGAAGAGGATGGTGCACATTGCTTACTGCAGTGGTTGAAAATTTTCACTTTGGCTATAAAACCAGTCTTCTCTGACTTAGTATTCCATTACATCTGCCTGTAATGTGGGAACAATTTTTCTCTTTCCACCTGAGGCAGATATATAGGAATTCAGCTGGTTAAGAAAGGGCCTAACCAAGCATTGGCCCTGTATAAAACGTGAAAAGAGCCATATGCCCCATCTACATCTAGTATCTTCCATTATAACTAAGCCGTGCTGGGAATCATCCCACACACTCAAAGCAATCCCCAGATCCAAACCACACCCTCCATTTCAAAGTTTCAAAGTCAAGATCTCCTACTAGCCAGCCGAGTCATTCAACTGGAACTCTGAGGCTCTATCGAAACAGGCCTGGATGCCTGTATCTTTCCAGAGTCGGTCAATGATGTCAGACATCTCCTTAGGCATGGTGCCCTCTTCAATAGTATCTGCTAAGTGCAGCAACATTCGGGAATCATCCTACAATTGAGACAGAAGATGAAGTTCAATCAATGAGACCTTCCTGAGGGATGGGGAGGGAGTCCTTCCTCCTTCACTGAAAAGAGTAGTCTGGGCAAAAAGAGTTAGAATGATGATTGCTTTGAGTTTCTCTGACCTACATCTGTTTTGTTATCTTTGGAATTAATTTCTCTGGATGTTTGTATAATCCCAATTCTCCAAATCACATGAACTGTCCATTACCTATTGCCCATTTCTATTTTCTTTTATTTTTATCAGCCGTTTTTGTTGTGGAAGATAGCGACAAGATACCAAATTATTTAATGTTTAATAACGCTTTGACTTTGAATGATTGCTTTATACTTTTATGATTGTTTTTATATATTTATTGCAACTAGAGATACTTCTAGTGAGATGGGCAGCCATATAAGTTAAATAAATAAAAGCCCAAAGAACAACCATATATGAACATAACCATTCCTCAGTGACCAACCTGTCTGGCTGGGTCTCCATATTGGATGTTCAGGATGCCCATTGCCCTCACTATGGACAGCATGGACTGCAGGGTGTTGCTGTAGATAACGGAGATGAATTCCAAGCACTCCTCTAAAGAATAACCATCTTTATGGATAATTCTATGGAAGATAACAACAGAAAATCAATCCAGAAGTTCTCAGGAACGTTAGGTGCTACCTGGGAATTCTGGGAGTTGAAGTACATATATCTTAAAGTTGCCAAGGTTGAAAAATACTGCACTAAGTGTATTTGAGGAACTCTGAACAAAATGCAACTGTCTTTTTCCTCTCCTAATTCCTCAGACAAATTACATGTTACAGAGAGACCCAGCTTCTCATTCATTTTTCCTTGAATGTTCTATCACAACTACCTCCAGATTTCTTTTTTTTTTCCTGTTATTAAGGGAGATTGCAATATTCTCAATAATGGAATTCCATTAGATACTTTGTAAATCTAATTCACACATTATGCTAAATCTGCATGCTAGTAGATGAGATTTGTTTGCTTTTTCCTTAACACGAGGTGTGGTATCAACTTTTGTCCTCTATAAACCATGACTCTTCATTGGGATGGGCTTATATAACACAGCAGGCCCAAAAGCAACCAATTGCATGGGAGCTTTATGGTGTGTGAATCTTTTGAATTACATCTTTGACAAATATATTTCTTGATTGCATACATATAGTACTTGGTGTTTTTGATGTATACCCAACACTTTTTATACATGCACCTAAAATATAGGATGTGAAAATAAAGACTTCTTTAAATCATGGTAAATGATAGATGATTACATGTGCACATCACATACAGTTTTATATGGCATTTATTTCCTTCTGTAGCCTATGGCCGTATGCGGTATAGCTACAACTAAGCATTAATATATCTTGAACATGCTTATATTTTAAAGAATAATCAATCTCAGTGAAGAGTTGCAACCTATTGGGTAAATCTAGAATAAATAAGAATAAGGCTGTTGGGATATTGGTACATTATTAATTTCCTCAAACACAAAGCATATAGAGGAATATACAGAGAGCAAGGATAGGTAATGTTTTTGGGAAAACTGGCATGTTTGGAATGTTGAGATCCTGTCATGAGCATTCTTACAAAATGGCTACTATTTTTTTTACCTAAGCCAGAAACCAAGCTCACAAAGCTTCTCCCTCTCTAAACCCCCTTCTCCTGTGCTGCGGTCACCTTCCACACTGTTGTGGTTTCCGCTCCTCCCCCCAGATTAGGGGAAGAGATTTCCAAGCAAAGCAGTTACACATCAGTCTTACTTTTGAAGGATGCCTACGGTATTGATTCAGGCCTCATTGGTATTGCTATGAATAAAGATCTTGCTCGAGGCTACTTATTTTTTGGAAACCGTTTTATTCATTGATTAAAACAATCTTTTAAAATAAATTGGGCAGACCGATTCAACACTTCATATGAGAAAGACTTCTTATGAGTAGAATTTGACAATTGCAATGGCAAGGATGTGTAGGAATTGTTGGAAGAAGACTTACTTCATTTGCTTGACTATGGTGCTTTTCCCCGATTCTCCAGCTCCTGGTGGAACAGAAAATGAAAAGGGACTAAACTGTATTTGTTCCCAATCCCCAATACTTTCTATATGGCACCAAATTCAATTTAACACCAGAGCCCATTTGCTGCACTTCTGCAGTCTTACATTTGTTCTGAAGTCAAAAATTGGTCTTCCCCAAAAATCCTTGGTGGATTCTCCTCAATAATTTTGCACTTTGTTTTAAGAACCTGGGCCCCAAGAACTAACTAACACTTTCTCTCTCTCTCTCTCTCTCTCTCTCTCTCTCTCTCTCTCATTAATCATACTCTCCCTTTCCTGCAGAACATCCTAAATCATCAGCTGAGTCTGCAAATTCTCATGTAGCAGCATTCCTAACTCTCCCACACTGATCTCTCCTTCCAGGTTGTATCTTTTCCATCCTGGACCCTCTGATCTAGCCTGCATTTGGTTCTTCAAACCACAATATTTTTTCTGTCAATACTCGGGGTCTTTTCTCTTATTGGTGATCCATCGCCCACCACGCTCTCGTACACTGGCCCCAAATTGCTGCCTGATCTCCCTTGTGCTTCCCAGTTGCTTCTCCTATCTCTTCTATATGGAGAGGAGGAATTCCCTATTAGATATTTTGCTGCCAAAATGAAAGTAGCTATCTCCTTCCACTTTCTCCAGTTAAGCTCGTTGTGGTTCAACCTTCCCTCCCCTCTTGCGGCAGAGAGAGAAACACACTCATTTCTACTTCCAAACTCCATTTTCTCACTTCTGCTTTATTTGTCACAGTCTTGTGACCGACTGGATCAATGCTTCCATATGTCTCCTCCCCACCCTCTTTTTTTTGCATGTCTTTTACACTATCCTAGCTTACATTTCATTTCTGTATCATTACACTTTAGAAAAATAAAGCCTCTCCGTTTAGACATCTTTAGTCTTAACTTGCCTCCCATTTAATCAAAACAGCATCTTATTTTACTTCTTAATCTCTATGTTCTATTTATTCTTCCCCCGTCTGTGGAGACTCTATTCTCTCTGTGTTTTTTTTTTAAACAGCAGCAGTTTTATAAAAAAAATCATTACAAATTCAACCATTCTGCAACTGGATTCAATGATTTTTCAACTACTGGGCAAGCTCAATGTGTCAGCATCTGATTTTTACCTCTACTAATTACTCTTAAATACTTGAATCACAACTATCATATTACTCATTAATTTTAAATAATAAGGTGAGCATTTAAACCATTTTGATATGGTGGTTAAGATCCAGGATTGGAAGTGGAAAGCTTCAGATTCAATTTAGTGTATTTATTTTCCTATTTCCTCAGCCAAATCTAACTCACTGGGTGGTTATTACACATTTCTTTCAGCAGCCAACAGTATATCATCAGAATTCCATTTGAGAAGAAGGTTTAAACCTAGCATGGACATTTTTTTCAGATAATTATTGTACCCGTGCATTTCATACCAGCCTTATGTGCAAAACTTTCCAATATTCCACATTGGTGGCAGCTTCATTTACCCTTTGACCTTGCACGGAGATTCCCTCTTTCTCACTGGCTCCATATTTGATCAAACTATCTTAATTCTTTTTTATCTTCAAACTTTGGCAGCTGTGTTAGGAAATACAATGTGTTAAAGGAGAAAAAAAGCAAAAGCAAAATATTTCATGTATGATATTTCTAAAGGCATGCTGGCCTTATGACCTAATTTAAGTCAATTCCTTCCTTCCTTCCTTCCTTCCTTCCTTCCTTCCTTCCTTCCTTCCTTCCTTCCTTCCTTCCTTCCTTCCT